TTTCCTGCTCATCTTTATAACATGTTTTTTTCAGCTTTTCTTCAAGCTTCTTTATGTTCGTTATAACATTTTTGTTTGCCCAACTGGATGGATGTTAACAAAACTCTCAGGAAATATGTGTTGGACTATTTCTACAACTGATTAATGTTTGGAGTTAATCCTGTTCAAAATGCAATAATGGTGAATCGGTTCATCTGGACAGTTTCTTTTTTTTGTGGAAAGACATTTCGCTTCATCAGTCTGAGGAGTACAAAACAAACAAAAAAAAGAAACTGTCCAGATGACCTGATTGACCATTATTGGATTTTGTACCTGGATGATTGAGCATGAGCTCTGATGACCTGTTCAAAATGGCCACCACAGCGAAGTGACCTTGGCAAATTTTAATAATAGATTAATCCGAGTCAGCTTTATAGATATATTCACTCTGAGTTCTAACAACTCGTGTTGCTTCAAGCCGAAATGGCTTCAACTTCTTTTATTTCTCAGCATAAAACAATTTTAGCTCAACATTTGCATAAAGGCAGGGACAATGTGCTTTCTGTTAAGGAGATAATTACATTAATCTTTCTTGTGAGTTTCATTTTGTTTGAAGGAAATATCACTGGTTTGATTTCTTGCAGATCGAACCTGAAGGGGCTGTATAAGGGCGACGCATACAGGATTTATAACAGCCAGAAGACGATCTGTCCGTCTAAGTCTGGTGTTGTCTGCTGGATGGGTTTAACAGGATACCAGGCCGCCACCGTCTGCTTGGGTAAAGAAAAAATAACACATTTAGCTTTATTATGCTACACCCTTATGTACCTGCTGGTGCTCTCATTACAGACTGTCCCACGTTCTAACCATGCCGCTGCAATGACCTCTTTAGTTGTTCATTCATGTTTTGAATGCAAAGAAAGGAGCGGTTGTTCTGGTCATGATGAGAGCCTGATGGATGATGAAGGAAGGGTGGATCTGGTTGAGGGTCTGCACAGAACTAAAGTTAAAACTTAACTTCCCCGGCAGACTCTCGTGCAGCTGATGGTGTTTCCTGCTCTACAGGAAGGCTCAGATCGATGCTTGGATCTTAGAAACCTTAAACCAAAAAAGACAAGTTCTGCAGAAAATGGAAAGTTGTGGAAATGAGCCTCTTCACCTGTGATGGTAGCGCTGTGCTTTTAGGGCAGCTGTATCCTGATAAAGAAAAAAACAAATATTTTAAAAGAAATATTTTTTCTAATTTTAGGTATACAGTAGTTCAGGGCTATTCATGTGGCGGCCCGGGGGCCAAATCAGGCCCACGGGTGAACTCAGTTCGGCCCAAAATAGGTTCATTTTAGAATAAAACTTGATTTTAAACCATAAAACAAACTTAATGACAATAACTGCTGGATGTCCGGCCCCAGAGCTCTTGGCTTTCTGTAACTGTGGCCCCTGAGTAATTTAGTTGAATAGCCCTGCAGTGGTCCCTCGCTACTTCGCGGTTCGTTTATAGCGGATTTTCAAAATAAGATTGGACATGACACAATTGGCTGATTGATGGATGAGCCATGGATTTTTTATTTAAAATAAATTATTTTAAACTATTTTGCACCATGTGTGCAGCCCATATGTACAGGGGGAAGCTCCCTCCTGCTGCTGATCAGCTGATCTCCTTCTATGCCACACACGTTTCTCCTGCTGCAGCTTTGTGACGGTTAACCCTTTGCTGTCCAGATGCACTGATCAACTTTTGTTTTCCAACTTAAAATTCAAAGTATGTCACATCGTAAAAATGGTCATCATCACAAAATATAAAAGTGTTAAAAGTTATTTTAAATTATTTTAGAACGTCTATGTTCAGTAATTGCATTGTAATTGATCAAGAAGTACGTTTCTGCTCCGTGCTGCAGAGCTGAAGCTGTGTGACATCCCTTTGATGTGCACTTCTCTTCTCTACAATTTAAATACTGTAAGTTTTTAAATAAACAATCCATGCTGCATGGATTGTTTATTTAAAATGTTACACTATTTAAATTTAAATTGTTTATTTAAGGAGGGAGATCGGGAGTAATAGGAGTGTGATTACAGCCTGGCACATGTCATGACAAAGTTTACTGAACTTGAACTGAACTTGAACTTGGACTACTTTATACATCCTTCACGGTTTTTCACTTATCGCAGGTGGACGTGGTCCCCAACACCCGCGATAAATGAGGGAGTACTGTATTTACTTGAATATGCGATTGTCAAAAAATGATTCTTGACACCAAATTCTCTTATAATATTACAAATAAAACCACCAAACTGAAAACATTTTCAGAACTGTCTTTAACTGTTCCTCAAATCTATTTAATAATAAACTTTCTTCCTTTTTACAAAAACTTACTTTAACCCACATTCTAAAGTCAGTTTTGTTTCTAATTGTCTTCTTTATTTTTCAGGAATGGCTATCCAGACGCTTGTGTTTTTCATCTGTTTCTTGTTCCTGGTGTTTATAATAATCATCCCTGTTTTTCATGGTCGTAACCTTATTGTTTTTGAAGTAGTAGGAAAGTCATGGTGAGTCAGAACCCCTTCCTGCATGTACTTTGTAAATGCTTAAATATCCTGAAAAAAAACATACATACAGTATATATATATATATATATATATATATATATATATATATATATATTAGTCTGTGTCTGTGTGATATTGCAGGCCAGCCTGGGTGATGATCATACTGGTGTCAGTGCTTCAACATGTGACCTCCAAGTTGTTCTTCATCAGTAAAGAAGCTGATACAACAGATCTTAACAACAGGTGGGTAACTTTGTTCTTGCTCATCCGCAGACTTAAATGTAGTTCTGTTTGTTAATCTAATAGTAATAGAGAAAACAATTCTCTGTAACAGCATTTGATGTTTATTTTTTCCACAGTTAAATGAGATTCATTCCTACATAGTATACAATATAACATCTTTGCGGTACTTTCCAGAGAGACTTTGTTCCTGCTGACTTACCTGCTGTTTGTCGTCAACATTGTGGTCGGACTAATTGTTGCAATCTGGAGAATCGTTATAACAGCTCTGTACAACATCATTCATTTTGGGCGCATTGACGTCAGTCTGCTTCATCGCACTGCAGAGTCCTACGATCCAGGTGAAGGAATTTCAAGTTTTTTAACAACTAATAAACACATAAACAATCTTTGTTTAAGGTTCAACGACTGCACAGCATAAAGTTTTACTTGTGTCTTTTGATCCCACCCAGCCTTCTATTACTACACCCACTTTCTGAAGGTGGAGGTCAGTCAGACACACCCTGTGTTGAAGGCTTTCTGTGGACTGCTGCTGGACATGATGATTGAGCTCAGAGCGGGACAGAAAAAAGATCCAGAGGAAGGTAGAGACCCTGGTCTACAAACACACTGCACAACTCTACATCTGATCACTGTATGTCAGATCAAATTTGAGTTTGAGTCTGTTTTACACTTGTTAGCAGGATTATTGGTAGAAATGTCATATGATGTACTCTCACCAGAAGCTTTGTTAGATACACTTGTTCATTTGCTCATTAGCACAAATCTATAATCAGCCAATCACATGGCCTTTAAGCATCAAAACAATGCAAGATGACCTGATGCATGCTCAATAATCCAGGTAGAAAAATCTAAAAAAGTTAAATCTTGTCCTCTGGACATTCAAAAAACAAAACAAAGCAAAACAAACAAAAAAAAAATGTAGAAATGTTTCGTCTTTCATCTGAAAGACTTCCTCAGTCTGAGGTGCTGTGTTCAGCTCAGTCTTATAAATAGCACCTTCTCAGAGTGGATCAACCAGTTTGCTGCTGACAACCAAAACCAGCAAAACCAACATGATCAAGAAGGACCATCAGCCTAACAATGGATCATTAGCACACTCATGGCTTTTTACTATTCACAGGGGGCTGAGTGATACTAGCAATCACAGCATTGTAAGAGGGGGACAGTTGAACCCGGAGGCCTCCACCCCTGTTTAATGATGGACGATTTCTTTTCACAAAGATGGCCTCCTTTACTTCTCTCTCAAACCATCGTTCCTCTCTGTCCAGGATGTGAACATCTTCATCCCTGAGAGTGACCGCTGGCCTGGAGATGAGTATAGACCGCAGAGTCCTGGCCTGATGTTGTTGCTCTTCTGTGCTGGGCCATCCTTTTGGCCAGTGGTTGTTTAGTTTCGTCGATGTAAGACTGATCACAGCCCTCCTGACACTGAACAGCATACAAAATATTACTCTGTTTGGGCCGGGGGACTGGATCTTTGAGAT